GCAATGGCAACCAAAATTTCCACATGTAACAGGCTGACATTATTTGTAGAGGTAAAAAGAAATGGAATGACGAGATTTCAACAAGGAGATATCTTCTTGTATTTTTATGCAAACTAATAATGGATTAACAAAAAGAGAGAAAATATATTGGTGTATACACAACTAAAAAGGAAGAAAAGTCATTAAACTTAGATGTTAGGAAATGTACATGTGTGATACGTGCATGTGTGTGTGTGTTTATGAAAGTTCAGTCATAAGTAACCCGGGGGAAGATATTATCTCCAGTGTGTTGAAAGGAAGAGAGAGAGAGAGAGAGAGAGAGAGAGAGAGTTCTTTTATAGTCCTTAAACAGCACCACCTAACACCATCTTGGCAGACCAAGTGGGGGTAATGCAAACAGGTATACTTGAAAATGGGCCTCTTCCCACCAGCAACATAGGTTGAATAATTGTTGTTATTTTCATCAATGAGGTTTTTAAAGTCAAACAATACAAACATTTAACATTTTAGATGGATTAACTACAATATATCAAAATTATTGGTGTTAAGAAAAATTGCCTAGATGATGCCTTAAAGTTTTCTAGTTATAAGGGTGTAATGAAAATTAGGGGAACATTATATCTGAGCATGATGCATCAGAGAATTTTGAAATAAAGTATAACAAAATCATTTTTATTTTAGATACCTTTGAGATTATATACTACATTAAGCACCTTTTACAAAATAGTGTTTTTGTATACAGGTTTGTTATATGAAAACTTCTAAAATTTGCCATTTTTCTAGAAACAATATGCATAAAGAATTTCAGTGTTATTCTGTCATGGTAAAACAAAATTTCTTCTTTATAAAGGATAGCACTGAGAAATTACTTTCTGATTCCCAACTTGTGACAGCCTTTGCTATATACAGCTTAAGTGCAATAGTAATATTCAGGAGTAATATTAATATTCAATTAGCTGTTACTCACAAAAAAAACGTTCATGTATTACATTTTAGAGGATGTGTTTTCTTTTGTATTTTGGGATTTCCTAAGCTTTATATATTCTTTGAATTGAAGTAATAACATTAATTTATTAAGTTGTGTTTAATACCATTTTTATAATGTGATGTTATAAATTTAATACTGTCTTCTTCACTTTCATAATTAATCACCAATTCAGAGTGGGACTTGAACCTTTTTGTTATCTTCTTATTTGGTGAAATCCACTTGCATAATTGGATTATTAAGCAGTCATAGAGTTGATTTAGAACTACTATATTAAATTTGTTGGTCACTTTCAAAGAAGTTATATCTGAATTTATTTTTTATAGTAATGTATCTGGAAACATCACAATAATTCAAGATGATATCTTCGCATAGACTTTTGCTTTTGATTCATAGTGTTCACCCCTTTTGGATAGAATTTTTAATTCTATATTCTAGCTAGGTCTCATCATTTTACTGTTGAAATTACTGAGCATAACCATAAGTTTTATTCGAATATTTCTTTTCTAGCACTTCTTGACTGTAGAACTCTTCCAGTTCATACTTTCTTGTCAATTACAATCTTCAGAAATTTAAATGCAAACTCAATCATCATTTTCTGTTTCCTTGAATCCTGTTCTTTTTATTGTTCTTTCTCCTCAGAAATGTTTTTTCAGTTTCCTTCACTCTCAGTAACCCTACTGCATCTTAGTGGCTTTATTGCCTTACTTGGAGTGAAATGATTAAATAAAAAAGTTCTTTCACAAACTAAAGATGATAGAAAATAAATATACCAAAACAAAGGGTTTGAAGTTTCTTACTTGTTTTATTGAAAAAACTACAGCATTTCTCCCCAAAGTGACTGTTAAAATAGCATATTCCAAATTTACCATCTTGTATAAATTATATTTTATTTATGTTCAGGTTTCTTCAAATGTGTTTGAGAGTTTGTAAAATACTTGTATATGCATTTTTATTTGCCAAGACTGTTTTATAGTGTGAAGAACATCTAGTTACAATTAAGCTCTTCATAGAAAAATCAAGATTGCCCTTTGTGTTTAAAACCTCTCATCTTAAAACAGAAGATCCAGAAGAAAAAACAGGGTATGTGAACAACAAAAAAGTTTTAAAGAAAAAGGAGATAAAAAAAAGATACTTTTACTTAGTATCATATATAGATAGTTAAAATTTCTAGAATACATAATAAGGAAAGAAATCTTGGAGAAATTGACACTTATAGGAGATATTGAAGGCAAGAGAGGCAAGAGAGGCAGAGGAAAACAGTGAGTAATCTACCTAATGAGCTTGTGTAAACCAATGACAGAATAAGAACTGAGAGAAATAGTAAGATTGATTTGTTTTTTATGGCTTATCAACCTTTTGCAGATTAATTAAAGCCAGAAAATATTTTTAGATTGTAAAAATCTTTTGGAGATAATAATGATTTTACTGATACAATCTCTACTAATTAATCCATAACTGGGGGAAAAGAGGTGGATTCATAACATTCCCAAGGATATTTGTGCATAAGTGAATACAACGAACTCAAATGGAATTGGAGCTCAGATTCCCAATTTCCAATTCCCAGCCATTATCCATTACACCTCCTGCACATCCAAGCTTATGGCAATTGGTATTCCCAAGCAGTCACCCATCTAGGACCAGGATCAATGTTGCTTAACTTCAGTGATCATGATTTAAAATCCCCTATCATAGTGGAAATCCAGAAAAGAAAACATGCTGCTCCTGCAAAATTCCAAACTAGTCAACAACTTCAAGCAGAGTAGACACTGCCTTTTCTCTGTGGTTGAGAGAATGGCTTGCCTATAATACACAGTACATGTCTATCTGTTCCAATGTAATTATTTTCTGATAATTTTGATTATATGCTATCAAAGGAGAGTATTATATTTTATGCATATTTATGGTATTGATTTGTTATTGTTTACATTTCTGCAGTGGTGCATGTTATTTATGTAAATAGAACAAATTAATGTGCTGATTAAGCATTGTGTACACAATATATATCTAACATAGAACCAATATTTTGACCCACTTTCTAACTATGGGCTGCACATAGTACATGTCCATCTGTTAATATTTTTAAAGAGTGTTTGCATCCCTTACTTTGAGCACTTAATATTAGATGCATTATCATCAGGCTTGACCATATATATCCTCAAGTGAAAGCTTATGTTCACCCAGGACTTTGGTTATATTTTGCTGAATCAAACTGTCAATGAATAATTTTCTTTTTGTAAAAATGTTTAAAAATCACTTGCAGGTTTTTCCATTACAGCAGTATTGAATCAAAGTTACCAGCTGATCAACATGAATCAACAATAAAAGAGTATTTTTTTTAATAACTAAGTTGTTGATTTGATTCACAATTTCATGTTGCACATATTTTCACATGAATCACAATATTGAATCATGATTCAGTATTGAAACAAGATTACCAGCTGATTAACATGAATCAACAATAATAAACTAGTTTTAATGTCGTAGTTGTTGGTTTGATTCACAATTTTATCTTGCACATCTTTTCTTATTATTTCTATCAATTTTTCATTCACAATTTTTGATAGGTAAGCAACATTTACTTCTTCATTTTTATATTTCTCAAGATCATAATGTAAAAATGGTTCATACTCTGCAATAAGTTCAATGACTGTAATGTAAATTAATAATAAATACATTTAATTCCCCTGTAACTATTTATAGCGTCCAATCATATTTCAACAAAGTGTAGTGCCTGTGACTACCAGCAGTTACCTCTGACATGGGTTGCTACAGATAAGCACACAATATGTTTTGTGTTGTCGTTCAGTTATATTCACAGTTGTTCTGCAGAGCTCAATGTTAACATGATATATAACAATGTTGCTTTTGAAATTTCCATTATTTGATGAGCCCCTCTTCTGTTCTATGATCTCTAAATGTCAAAGGTCTTTTACTTAAAAACTTTATTACAGCTACAATTATTTTCAGTACTTGAAAATAGTGTTGTATGTTTTTACTCATCTGTTTCTCAAGTTACTGATTCACAGTGTTTTTATTTGACTTTCTTGTTATACAAAACAGCATCACTCTGTTTTGTTCTATGCTTTCAACATGATTTTTCAAAGTTCTGTGTATATTCAACAAGTCAGAAAACCTACCTGTGTTCAAGGAAATTTCACATTTAGATAAGAGTTTGCAAACAAAACAATATATACAATCTTTGCTATTTGAGTAGACAAACTACAAAGTATTAAGAAAGAAGAAAACTTTATTAGAAACAAATAAAAGAGGGTAGAACTGCTATATAATGTCAATCTTTCTATACGACAGTGAATGCTGGAGAATTTCCTCACATATAAATAAGGGACTTGAGGCAAAAGAGATGTGGTTCTACAGAAGGATGCTTAGAATACTATAGACAAAGCATGTGAATAATGAAAAAGTTTTAAAGAAAATGGAAAAAAAGGACATGTGCTTAGGATCAGATAAAAAGAGTTGAAATTTCTGGGCACTTAATGAGGAAAAAACACTTGGAGAATTTGACACTCATTTGGCTCTATATTGAAGATAACAGAAATGGGGGAAACATTGAGAAATTTACCTAATGTGCTTGTATAAATGGATAACAGGAGAGGGACTAGTAAAGGGAATGATTGCTTAAAACTACTAGAGATAGGAAATTGTGAAGAGCTAAAATTGCCCACATTCTGAAGGTATATATAGAACAAGAAAAAAGGATCTTATTGCCGTTTAACCATTCTTTAATTGATTTTTATAACTTATCAACCTTTTATAGGTTATTTAAAGCCAGAAATTATTCTTTTACATTGTAAGAACCTTTTTGGAGACAATAATGATTTACTGAGACAAGTCCTACTAATTAACCCATAGCTGGAGGAGAAAAGCTGGATTCATACCTTTCCTAAGGGTATTTGCACATAAGTGAATTTAGTGAACCAAACTGGAATTGAAACTCAGCTCTCCAATTTCCAGTTCCAAGCTGTTGTTCATTACATCACCTGCACATCTAAACTTACAGCACCTGCTATTCCCTAGTGGTCACCCATCTAGGTCCTGACCAGGCTCAAAGTTGCTTAACTTTGGTGATCGTATAAGAACCAGTATTTCAATGTGATATGGCCATAGGCCTGTTAAGTAAATGTTGCTAGATTCAGTCTATACATAACATTAAAGAAATTAAAAAATGTTTTATATGTCTTATATATGAAATCATTATGAACTGTTATGGACCAGTTTACAAAGTCATTGAATGAATTTGTTTTTTTTATTTCTGCTCTCTCTTCTTGTTCCACAATGCAACACTTGTGATCATTATCTGTATTAAAATTGTCAACAGTGGCTTGAGTATTATTAGAAAGATCTACCATAGTTTTCACTGGCTTCACTGGTACACACTTGATTCATTTCTGCTGTAGGTATTGGCAAACTTTTATTTTTTGTAGCAGTAGGCAAAGTTTAATAAATAAAATAAAATAAAAAATGTTTCTTAAATCTCCCGAGGGGTATCACCTACTTATCATCTACTTAACCTTTCATTAACATTAATGCTGACATTCTTAGGGAGAGGTCACTCAGCTAACACAATTTCTGAAACCAGATACTTGGGTAACTTTAATGCTTCAAAAATATAACTACTCTCTGTTATCCATCACAGAGAACCCTCCCTGCCTCCCATTAGAATGTCTGATGCTCAACTCCATGAGAGAACTCCTTTGCAACTGCATGGTCTCACACTATCTGCTCACCTGAGATGGAACAATTACATTGAATCAATAGCTTCATCTACCACAAGGAAAGGTGGTTCTCAGTGTCACACCAAAAAGTTTTTCTCGCCCGAGTCTATCCTTCAAAAATCTATAAATCAACCAATAGCCCTTGCATGGAATATTGCTGTCATATATGGCCTGGAGCCCCCACTGTTCGTCTTAGGGTCCTCGACAAAATCTAGAGACAGATATGCAATGTGGTTGGCCCTGATCTGGCATCTCATCGACAGTCACTCTCTCACAGATGTGTCATTGCCTCCCTCTGTCTTTTCTACAAATACTTTCATGGTAACTGCTCCAATGAGCTATTTTTGCTAGTTCCCAAACTGCATGAATTTAAATGTGCCACTAGGTCGGCATTTCAGTACCACCCTTTCACTGTTGAAACAGTTAAATGTAGCTGTCTCTTCTACTTCAATAGCTTCATATCTCACACTTCCTGCTTATGGAACTCCCTCCCTCTTACTTGCTTCCCTGATAGCTATAATCTCCAACTATTCAAATGCAATGTCAATCGACATCTCCAGATGCCTTGATCTATTCCTCATCCTTCTCTTCATCCTTTCTTCTTTCATGCCTCTTTACTCTTTTTCCCACTCTCTGTAACCCCTTATATGCTAATGGCATTCCTGCCTTGGTTAGGGTGAAAAGTTTTTAAAAAAAGCTAAGAAAAAAGATCAAAAACCCAGTACCAAATAAATGACAATCCCACAATCACTCACCACACTGTCCAGCCACTTACAAACCTCAATATAAACCCCATAAAAATAGAACTCTTAGGTTAGTCTTCTCTACCTTTTTGTCAGAAAGCAAAACAGGCTGGTCTATTCCACTTTAACCACCCAAGAACTAATCAGGGTGGTTGCCTGCTACAAAAAATATAATAATAATAGTATTATTATTATAATCATTTTAGGCAGATTATTTCATTGAAGCATAAAGACCTAACATTGTTGTAATAGATAAAGAAAGTAGCAAGTGTCAAATTATTGACTTTGTTGATACAAGAGTGGACTCCAAAAAAATTAAAAAGATTGAAAAATACCAGGATCTAGCTCGAGAGTTGAAGAAGCTTTGGAAAATGACTATTCCAAGCAATTCCTGTAGCTGCACTTGGAAAACCAACTAGAAACTTGAAAGAGTGCTTAGGGAAAATTGAAACTGAGATGAAGATTGTAGACCCCCAGAAAAAATTTTGATGGCTCCATACTTCAAGAACAGAATTTCCATTGACTATGTCAATATACAACAACAATATAATGATAAAAAACATTTATAATGGCTGCACAGGACCAAAGCCAATTCATTGTGAATTACCAAGCAAACATAGTAACAAATGTTGCAGATGCAATATGCAGATAATATAAACAACATGTTGAAAATATTGATTACTTGTCCATTCCTATCACTGAAAGAATACAAAGATCAACATGATAAAATCAAACAATCACTCTTCATTGGAAGATATATCAATATAATAGTATACCATATGCTAAAAAAAAAGGTATGAACATCATCCTGAAATAGACATAGAATATCATGAAGTTATTCTTTGGGACTTTACCATTCATAATGACAGACATATAAAAGCTAATAGAGCAGATATAATGATTAAAGACTACAAATCCAAAATGCCTTCTCTAGATATGACAGAGCCATCAGATAAAAATATATCTGTTAAAGAATATGACAAAATAAGTAATCATAAGGATTTTTAAATTAAAATTGAAAAGATGTGAGGGCTTAAAATTACTGTTATACCTATAATAATCAGAACCTTGAGTACAATAAACAAAAGTATGGACAAGAACATTAATAAGATTCCTGGTAGCCTCTGTTCACATTAGATTCAAAATATTGTGCAGTGGGTAACTACTTATCTGCTCAGGAGAGTATTATCAAAGTAAAAAAAAATATAAACACTGTACATGTTAAGTATCACTTAACATCAGAATTTGTGCAAACAGAATGTTTATATTTATTATATTGTCTTGCTCTAAGTCTTGGGTAATGACCCAATTATGATGATGATGAAAAAGTAGAAGAAGAAGATTATGATGATGATGATAAAATACAGGGAAATTGGAAAAAAAAACTGTTACAGAAGTCAAAAAGCCACTAGCTATTGGAGAAATGAAAAAAATTTTGGAGAATATTTGGAGCAGCCCAAAGGAATATAATCCCAATGCAGAATGGACCAAATGAGAATAAGTAAGAATGAAGAATAAATCTCTACAAGAATGGAAAAAATATAACCAAGAATAATGTTAGGCAAGTTCTAACGAAATCCCAAAATGGAAATCCCCAGGAATGACAAGGTAGCCAGTTTTTAGCCCTATCATCTGTTGTCAATCTATAAAACCCTTGCACAAACTTTATCAATGCTAATTAATAATCTCAATGAAGTCGCAGAATGGACCACTGAAGGTAATACATATCTCCTACCAAAAACAGGTGAAACAGATGATCCAAAAAATTATATGTCCACCATAAATTGATCACATTTGTCCTGTATGGATTTCAGATTAGATAAATTTTCAAAAGTAACATTCAGGAAAGGGAAAATTACAAAAACACACTCAATAGATCTAGATTTTGTCACAAAGATTAGGGAACCAGAAAAAGAAAGCAGTCTACAGATACATAGGAATTAGAAAAAGGAAATGGAATACAGCATATTCAAATAAAGGAGAAAGTAAGAGAAGAATGCTACAGACCTGTGTATCTGTGGTTGAATACAAGTCGAATTCACAAAACAGAAAATCACTCATAAACACATTGGCTGTAGCTGTGGTGCAATACAGTTTTAACATCCTTAACTGGACCACAGTGGACATTAAGCAAATGGATGCCAAAACGAGAAAGCTACTCACTTGCCATTGCATGCATCATATCAAGGCTTATCTTGATCATCTGTATGTGTCCAGATCTGAAAGAGGCAGAGGATTAGTTCAACTAGAACTATCTTAGAAAACTTCAACAATCAGCCTTCAAAGATACCTGGAAACTACAAAAGATTGGATGATGATCTGTGTCAAAGAACATGAAAGAAGTAAAAACTGTATTCAGTAATAAAGGAAGCCAACAAATTCAAAATGGGATTTCAAGTGGGTGAAGAAATGCAAGTAAAACACAGTATATCTTTTACAGTGGAAAAAAAACTTAAAACAGAAAGTAAATGCAATGGACCAGATACAGAAATGATGTCAAGATAAACCTCTTCAAGGCCAATATTTTGCCTGTACCAAACAAGCTGATGTAGACAAATCCTGTACACATCAGTGCAGGGTTAAAAACTGAAACTGAAGGTTTTATTCTTGCTGCACAGGACCAATGCTTGCTAACTGGAAATTACCAAGCACACATACCGAAAAATTGTATAGCCCAAAATGCAGATTCTGTGATAAATATCCAGAAACAATTGACCATTTTGTATCAGATTTCATGGTATTGGCACTCACTGAATATAAAACCTGACATGACAGAGTGAGACAATGTATGCATTGGAAAATCTTCAACTTTTATGGAAAGGAAACTGCAAGAAATTGGTATGAACACCACCTTGACCATGTTACAGACATAAGACCTGTAACAATTTTATGAGACTTTACAATACACACAGACGGAACAATCAAAGCTAATCACCCAGACATCTTGATCAGAGACTGCAATAACAAAATGTACTTTCTTATTGACATATAATGTATCTGCAGACTGTAATGTATCTCCAAAAAATTATCAAAATACAAAGACCTTGAAATTGAAATCTCAAAAATGTGGCACATGAGGACATCAACAATTCCAGTTGTAGTTGGAGCCCTCGGATTGATTGGAAAAGGTTCCAATAGACTCATTGAAGGGATTTCTGGTAACTCAATCTTTAAAGAAATGTGTAAAATTGTACTCACAAGTACAGTCCACATCTTTTGAAGAGGTTTATCTATGAAAAATATTTGTGATCTTTGGGTTTTTTTCTCAAAATTGCTCAGTGGAAAATGCCATAATGCCATTTCTGTTGGTTGGGGCCCAGAAAGAAAGAAATATACACCAGAAATGAAAGGAAATAAAATAAAAATAATAATATTTCTTATTGATAAGTCTCTGCAGCTTGTAATGTAGTTTTGAAGATCCTCAAACTAGATATAAAAATACAAGGATTTTAAAGTTGAAATTTCAATAATCTGGCATATTAAGATATCAATATTTTCAGTCATGGTTGGGGCCCTGGGCTTGATTGGAAAAGATTGTGATAGACTCATTGAAAGGATCCCTGGTAGCCCATGCCTTAAAGAAGTACAAAAAATCGTCCAAGGGAATATCTATGTTGAACTGTCTACAAAGAAAGCTACCACAAGAAAT